GACCAGGGAGACGCTTGCAACAGTTTTAAGTGTGAAAAATGGTGGTCTCTTTTTTCAGTGCTGTCGCAACTTTGAACAGTCACTAAGCGAACTGTTGTAAGTCAAGGACTAACTTCCCCAGCCCATCAGAAGCCCGGCCGTTGCCAAGGCCTCTGGAACGGTGGCCCCAAGTGGGGGATGGGGGGGACGGGCGGCCCCGTCTTCACGGCTGCCCAGGCTATGGGCGCCACTCGGCCCGCCAGGGAGACACGCTGGGACGTCCCTCTGGGGGCTGCGAGACCCCACCGCTTAGCGGCAGCGGTCGCTAACTGAACCCCCACCGCCGATGGGCTGGGCAACCCCTGCCGGCTTCCCATAACCGGTCAGTGGAGAAGTCGGGAGGGACGCTGCCCACAAGCAGGGGGAATGGCTGCTGCTGCTGGGAGGGGGAGGCCTGAGGCTAGCTGGCTGGGCGTCAAAAGACGTCCTTTGGGAGGAATGGTCCGTGGTGGTGAAGCAGACAGCAAGTTGGAGAGGGTGGGCAGAGGAGGAGCCTGGCGGGAGCCTGAGCTCAGGCAGGAAAGGACTTCCCAGCCCAAATTCTCTGGGGACAGGCAGGGCCGCAGGAGCACCCGGGAACTGTGCGTGTGCCTGGACTTGCTTCAAGGCGTAGGTCCTCCTCACCTGGATGCGTGGCTCGAGCTACCAACAGCCCCACTGGCAGGGTCCCCAGGTAGCGCCCCCCAGGCGCTCTCAGGAAGACCCTCCCGTAATGCCAGAGGGCCTGGAACCTGGTCTCCGCCTCCTTGGCAGTCCCGTTGGCCAGCACGCTCCGGAATGGCCTCTGGGGAGGGGAAATGACACAGTCAGGAGGGGGATGCTCCCTGAAAGCTTTCCCCTGGATGGCGGCAGGCAGGATCTGCTCTCCCTGTGAGGGTGCCATCCCACATGCCTCATTCCTGGGGTTGGGCCAGGTAGGGCAGGTCCCACTGTGTGACCAGAGAGGGATGGAGGGAGAAAGGACACACACACACACACACACACACCGTTCCCAACAGGGCAAAGCCTGCCCAAGGGAGGCCTCTTCAGACGTGCTAAGTGCTCTGCCTCAGAGGTCGGGAATGGCTCTTCCCACCTCCCAGGGAGAGGCCTGAATCAGCCTGGATGGTCATCAGGTTGCCTTGCTCAGCGCAAGTAGGGCTATCCAGCATTAGTGGAGGTGGGGTGGCCCCTCCGCTCTAGGCAGACTATTCCTCTGTTGCTCCACTCTTCCTTCCCAGCTCCCCACTGAGACTCAGGCTGACTCCCCAGGGCTTCAACTGGCCCCCTTGAGCCTGTCCTGTCTCAGCTCCCATGGGTCACTTGCTGGCCTGGCATGCATCCCCACGCACTCGTGTTTGGTGGGTGGCTGCCAGGCCGGGTCTCCCTCCTTGGCCCAGAGTCCAGTGCTGTATCTGCCCCCCAGCCCCCTCCCCTGGGGTTTCATCCTGACCTCCCGCTTGCTGTGGGGCTGGGGCAGCGGCATCAGCCGAGGCCTGACCTGAGCCAGGTACTTGTGATGGACGCCTTTTAACTGCACCGTTTGGGTGTTGGAGTCCATTTCAAACAGGAACATGGACATTGGGCTCAGCTTCTTAGGACCAGCGTAGACTTCGGAGTCTGAGCAGAGAGACGGAGAGAGAGAGAGAGAACAGCCAGGGGAAGGATGGCCACCAATTTGCGCTGACAGCAGCTGAAAGCCTCCTCACCCCCCCTTTGAATGAAAAGCCCTGGGGCCAGTTCAGAGAATGCGGCCTTCAGAACGGCTTTTTCCTTATTCGTTTATTAAATTTCTATGCTGCCCACATCACTGATACAGCGACACTGGGAAGCTTACAATATAATAAAAAGTTAAAAATTGCTAAAAAAAAAAAAAACTATTAGAATGACTGAATAGAGAAGTTAAAACTAAGATGACGGGCAGCCTGTGGGTGCGAATCTTCTCTTCTCCAATGTTGCAGGCTCCTCTTGGGGCCCCAGGCCAGGAGGCACAGCCAGGTTTTCAGGCTCCTCCAGAAGGCCGGGTGTGTGTGTGGGGGGGCGGACCTCCCCTCTGACGGGAAAATATCCCAGAGGACGGGGGCCACAGCAGAAAAGGCTCTTCCCCTGGACCCGCCAACTGAAATTCTTTGGCCAACGGGAGCCGAAGCAGGCTCTTTTCTGCTAGTGCAGATGGGGTGGGTAATCCCATTGGGGTGAGCCGGTTTCTCAGACACCCTGGGCCCAGGACAGGAAGGGATTTAAGGTAATGACCAATGCCTTGAATTGGACCCAGAAGCAAACTGGCAGCCAGCGTAGCCTGGTGTCACATGTGCCATCCTAGAGGCCCCCAAAACTGCCCACCTCGCTGCATTCTGTGCCAGTTGCAGCTTCCGAACGCTCCTCACGGGCAGCTCATTAGGGTGCCCCATTAGAGGCTCCCTGCATGCAGGGAGGCAGCGACTATAGCAGAGATGTTTCTGAGGTCCCGGTGGCCACACTCACGGCAAAGCCTTTGATTTCTTATTTTAAGTGATGTCACAGGGTGAACTCCACTTCAATTCTAAGGGGGCTCAGGTTTGTAGTGACCTGACCAGGTAAGGGTGGGATGAGTCCCTGCTCTCCAGGCAGCTGTTCCTACCATTATTTCCTGGGCTGGAAAAGCGGGGATTTACTTGCCAGAAATGATGCTGACGAATCTGTTGGCTCTCGTTCTCAGACTGACCCACGGTGGGCACCGCTTTATAACGAACCACTCCTCGTTCTCCTCTGGGTGGTCCCCAAGGCACAGGAGCCCCCGGCTGCCTTGCGGATACAAGACGTGCCCCTCCATGTCTGTGAGGAAGGCCAGGCAGCCGGGTTTCAGGTTCAGGTGAAAGGCCGTCTCCGTGGAGGGCATCGTGGCCAGCTTCTCTGCTCTGGAGACAAACTTGTGGGTGGAGGTCTCCAAGTGGCAGGTCCCCTTCCTGAACCACAGGAGGAAGCCGCACTCCTCCAGGTAGGGCACAGGGGCATCCACCCAGACCCGGCTCAGTTCTGGGTCAGTTCGGGCGTAGAGCTGGCTGCTGGGGTGGAAGAGGACCACGTGCACATGTTCGGCCAGCTGGGGCATCCACAGGTGGTGAGCGGTCAGGCCTCGGGCCACGCAGAAGACATCCTCACCATCAGACTCCAGGAACTTCTGGCTCTCCACCTGCTGAAGGGTCCAGGCCCCACTTGGATGGACCTCCAGCAGAAACCGGCTCTGCTTCTCAGCCGTTGGCCGTCCACAACGCACCGTGCCATCTGCTTCCACCAGGAGAAGCTGCCCTTGATGCCCAATCAGTGCCACCACGTCCTGCTTCCCTTGCTCTGTGGTCACACTCAGCTTCCAGGTCTGGGAGAGCAAAAATGGCCAGTCACCAGCCCAGCTGACCAGTTAGGCAAAGCCCAGTTGCCCTGATGCCCCTCTTTTGTCAGTCCGCTGTTGAAGGTGCGGGAGCCAACCAGAGCAGATGTTCCCAGCCGCCACAGCCCCCCTTGCTTTGGGCTCAAAGCCAAGGCTGAAGCTCTTCCTTCTTACCTGCGGAACCTCCAAAGGTGAGCTGCCCCCTCCTCCCAGAGCGGAGGAGGAACCTGCTCAGCCCGGACGCTCCGTGGAGCCCCAAAGGGAGGGTTTCCCTCCCTACAGCTCCTCAGGGACGCTGGCCTCGCTCTGGTGCTTGTGTGGGGCCCTCCCGGCTCAATGCCCCAAGGGCAGCCCAGGAGCCTCCCCAGGCTCTCCAGAGGGCCCCCTCTGCCTACTCAGAGGCCTGCCAGCAGCAACCCCCCCCCCGAGGTCTCCCTGCCACGATGGGGAGCAGCCGGTGGGAGGGATAAACTTCAAGGCAGCCACGGGTGATACCTTCAGAATGGGGAGCAGCTGCCTTCCCCCAATTCAAATAATAAACTGAATTCAATAAATCAAAGCAAACACCCCCCTCTCTTAATTCCTCTGGTGGCTGTTGGAGCAAAAGGGTGCACTGCCAGGCGGTGGGGTTTGATGCCAGCAGGGAGCAAGCATTGCTGCAAGTCTTCCCACTGCCTGAAGGAGGTCAGCCCCTGCCTCTGCCCCCAGGGCCAGGCGTCCGGGCTGGCGCTTCCCTCACTCCATACCTGTTTCTTTCCCAGCGAGCTCCCCAAGACACTGACACCATCCCCATAGCACTCGCAGGTGAGATATCCCCCCGTCCAGTTGACGAGCCCAATCTGCATGAGGGAGAGCAGAACAGGAATGGCAGATCCCCCCTTCTCCTCCTCCCCCCCCGGGTCTCACTTGGGCCAGGCTCTGGTGCGTGGGCCCAGGAAACCCTTCTGGTGGCGGCACTGGGGAGGCCTCTGGGTGGCACTTCCCAGCGTTCCAGGGCTAGAAGCCGCTGGCCGCTCTGGCCTTTGTGACCCCTGGTTACCTCACAATGCAGGCCCTGAAGAACCGCCTCGCTTTCCACTGCCCTCCGGACTCTCAAACGGGATGCCCTCCCTCCCGGTGGAGCCCCTCCCCACCCTCTGAAGCATAAAATCCTGCCACACCTCCAGGCTCACCACCCAAGAGGCAAGGCTGGCACTCCTGGGGAGGGTGGCAGTGGGGGCAAGGTGGCATGGCAGAATCCTTCAGTAATTCCACTGTGGCTCAGACTGGGAGGGGAAGCAGCAGCTGCAGCCAGGCGGCCTGCAGTGGCCCTCGGGAAACTCTGGGGCCCTCTGATCTCCTAGTGGCCTGGGATGGAATTGCAGCCAAGGATGCTTGGGCTGATGCCCGCAGAGAAGACGACCAGGGCTTTCCCAAGAGAGGCTGACTACCCGGTTGACTTCAACCAGGATGGTTTGGAAATTTGCAAAATGAGAGAACTCAGCAACTGGACTGTGTTGTGTGGATGTGAGCAATGTGCCCAAGAGGCTTCTGATGAGACACGATTTCTCACTGGAATTCATACCTCCGCAGCCATTCGGTGTGGTGGCCCTTGAGATACTTGAAAACGGCAACCATGTCTCAGAACTCCCTTCAGTGTGCCCTGCGCCCAGTGGGGTAACACAAGGTTCCATCTGAGGCCCAGTACTCTTCAATGTCTTCATCAATGACTTAGAGGAGGGAATAGAAATTTGCAGATGACACCAAACCGACAGGAGTAGCCATCATCCCAGAAGACAAACTCAGGATCCAAAAAGATCTTGACAAACTTGAACAATGGGCCCTGTCCAACAAAATGAGTTTCAATGTGGAGAAAAGCAAAGTCCTACACTTAGGCAGGAAAAACAAAGGAACAAATACAGATTGGGCAAGACCTGGCTTAAAAACAGCAACCGTGAGAGGGACCTTGGAGTCCTAGTGGACGATCACTTGACCATGAGCCAGCAGTGTGCAGCAGCAGCCTAAAAAGCTAATACAATCCTGGATTATTTAAAAAGAGGCACAGAATCAAGATCACGCAAAGTATTAGTATCACTTTATAAAGCCCTAGTAAGACCACACCTGGAATACTGCAGCCAATTTTGGTCACCATATCACAAAAAAGAAGTTGAGAGTTTGGAAAAAATTCAGAGAAGAGCAACTAAGAGGATCAAAGGCCTGGAGACTAAAACATACGAAGAACGGCTGCGGGACTTGGGTCTGGCCAGTCTAAAGAACATGATAGCAGTATTCCAGTATCTCAGGGGCTGCCACAAAGAAGAGGGGGTCAAAATATTCTCCAAAGCGACTGAAGGCAGGACAAGAAGCAACGGTTGGAAACTGACCAAAGAGAGAAGCAACCTGGAATTAAGGAGAAACTTCCTAACAGTGAGGACGATTAACCAGGGGAACAGGTTTTGCCTCCAGAAATCACGGGCGCTGCATCACTGGAGATTTTCAAGAAGAGGCCAGACAGTCCCTTGTCTGAGATGGTGTAGGTTCTCCTGCTTGAGCAGGGGGCTGGACTAGAAGACCTTCGAGGTCCCTTCCAGCTCAATTCCATTCTTGTGGTCTCTTATCATCGGGGTTGGCTGACCCCTGGGTGCCTCCAGCGTGTCACGGTCCTTCCCGGCCTCCGTCCAACACAGGCGATGCCTCTTTGTCTGGACGCTCCGCGAGGCGCCCCGTTTCCCCTTTGGGGTCCCCCGAGAACCCCCCGTCTTCTTCCCAAGCTCTGCCGCCCCCGCACGGGCCCAGCCTGCCCGAGACCCGGCCCCGGGCTCCTTCTGCACCCGAAGGCGGCGGGGATCTCCTCCCTCCCGGCCCTTCAGCCGCCTGGCTGCTCCCTGCGGAGCCCGTTCCAGCTTGCCGGGCTCCTTCCTCAAAGGCGGGACGCGGCACTGGAGGGAGATGCGCTGGGCGGCGGCCCGGCCAGGACTGCGCTACGGCTCCCCTCCTGCAGCTGCCTCCCCCGCTGCCTCCCGGGACCGCCCTGCCCGCTTCGCCCGCTCGCCTCGCGCCTCCCTCGCCGGGTCTTCCTTCCTGCCGCCAGAACGCGCCCCGCCCCTCGCCCCGCCCCTCTCGCTCCCGGCGCCCCGCGCGCGCAAGGGGGC